GTTTATATACTGTCTAAATTCATATTTTTGATGCCAAATCATTTTGTTATGTACATTTGTTGGGATTTTTTTCCTTAGTAAACCTCAAAAAACAAATATTGCTTTTAGTTTTTATTCATTTAAAATAATAATACACTATGCAGTACGTTTTAAATAACTGYCAGCTTACAGTGGGTGTTTAAAAATTGTCAACAATATCTTACAATAACGCATAATTACAATACGTGATATTTTCAAATTTCCTGTCAATTTCTTTTAACAAAAACAGGGTGGGTCGCTGGTGGGCTGCCAAAGCAGCCCTACCACTGGGCTTAGCTGGTTTTCTGGCGGAAACTACATATATTTTGAAGGTGTGGCGGCTTTTATTTTGTCGTGGCAGTACGACTCAATCAATTACATGTAGAGGAAACCCTGAAGGTGCATTGTAGGTAGGTTTGCTTAAACCCATTTCCAGTCCAGTCAGAAACCACACCGTGGAAGCCAAAAGGCATCTAAAAGCTGGATATGGGTGATCTTTTTTGAAAGAGCCTATTTAAGCACTCATGCTGATGTTGTAACATTGACAGTGCTTGCAATCCAAGGTTACATACTCAAAGTGTTCTCTTTTCTTTGGCTGTAAAATAAGTGTAATATTGAGAAAGACTAACTCTAAGTTGATGACTCTAAGAACACTATAATTGGTATTCTTGTTTTTTGTTGTTTGAATCTGCATTTGATCCTCTTGGAGYAGGCTGTGCAGGCCATCAGGTCTCCTTGACACCCACCTGCTTCTCTCCCTTTGGATATTTGTCTATGGAAACCGACTGGGCTGCCATCATTCACTGCAGACACTGCAAACACTGGGGCATTATAGAGCAGGAACAGGAGGGCCAACCTACACAATACACAAGTTAAACTGCTATCAGTGCAGGAATACAACTAATAGCTAATATAAATGTCCAGTTTTCACAATAAAAACATTATTAGCTTGTTTAATAAATAATAGGCTGGTTGAACTGAAGAAAATGATTAGTAAGTGTATGTTAATTCTCAACTCCACACACAGTGAAGATAAAAAAAAACGTCTTAATATTAACAATACAGGAGCAGCTAAAAACAAAATCAGGTCTACTTGCAACGATGCTTTAAAAAATACAAATGCAAAAACAAAATAAAACCAAAGAACCCACTATTACATAATTAAAGTGATGAGATAACTTTTTTAATATTTACATCCGCTCCTAACGAAATGATAATGAGCCTGTTAGCGGTGTAGCTTGCGTTAACACACCCACTGACTATACATTAGCCTTTAGCCGATGTTAGCTGCGGACGCCATTGGCGGCGGTAATAGAAAATAAAAGTTTTCTGTTTGTTTTTCAAATCCTTTGGGCCACAAGCTATCTTCTAAACAAGAGAGTAACTAACATGCACCGATGTGTTCAGTTGGAGAAGCATTGGAGAAGCATTGTATTTGATCAGATTTAGCCGCMTGTGTAATGTAATGAAAGCAACACATTTAGCTCCAAATATARGGGTTTACCAAGCAGAACAAGTCTGCTTGAGCTAGCGCTAGCCACAACGAGCTAGCAGGCTGTTAATTGCGTTGTTCATGCTACCACGATGGTGCAACCATGATGCAAAGCGCCATATTATGAAAGAGGAGGGGATCAGTCGACATTAAAAATAAAACCATGCTAACCTAACCTAGCCTAGCCTAGCCGGGTACTGAAAAAGACCCTACTGCGGATTGATACAAGGCAAGCAGTGAGTGATATGACAGCTCCGGTCACGTTGGTAAAATAATAGTTTTAACAAGATGTGTTTATTTTTTTGTGGAGGCGGGGGTCAAGTATGTGCATCAATTAAATTAACATGAATCAACAACACAAACGAAGCTAGCCCGGTTTGTCCTCAAATCCTTCCCCATCAATCAATTACGCAGGGACAGCTGCCTTCTCCTTTCCCTCCCCTCCGCGCTAACATTACTGCTGCTGCTTGTGGGCCTAGTCTGGAGCTCTCGCCCTTTGCTTTCACAATCCTSCTCTGCCCCCCAAAAGCCGACATATTTTACCCCCTCCTTCACTTGTATAGATATTTTTTATTCTTCCCAACAAAGCGCTGCCCCTTCTGCTTCCTTCTCTAAAAACACCCTCCGCTGCTTTGTCTAGGTCCACGCTCTTCGCCCCGGGGCATTTTTGCGTGCGGCCCAGATTGTTTGATTGATAGGGAACGGAAAAAKAGGGATTTTGAGTGACAGCTTACCTGAGTGCCAATCTTCGTCACACTGACAAGCGGCTGCAGCAATCGGGACTCGCAGTTGTTACGTTGCGTCATCACGCAGGGGCACGCAGCAGCGCTCGCCTCATGTTTATGTATAAAGTGGGCGGGGTCATGACGTCTCTCTGCGCCSTGCTGGGATTTTTTTTTACTTTCTCATCTAATTTTCACATTTTTTAGGTTCTACATTCAGTCAAAGCTCATTACTGTAATATAAATGTATTTTCTTATTGTTTGTTAATACAGAAACTGACATAAGCAGCTTCAKTAGGATATTTAAATGATGACAAACTGGCTGAGGAACCCAAACTAACTTATGAAATCAGCTCTTTTATTATTACACACATATCTTCATATGAAAGAAAACAAACTTTAGTTTYACCTTGTGTATTTTAATCATGTCACATTCTCATAATATTTCTGCAGACCTGGTAGGTTCAGGCGCGCATATACTGTATATACTTGTATGCATGTATATA